TCATCTGGGCCAGTCCCCAATCACCAGTGATGGTCAGCCCTGGTTTCAAGCTGGTCCTTCATTGCTTGTACCTGTCAGGTAGCCTGGGCTCCTTGTTCTCCTCCCTACTAGCTTTCCCCTACACGTCACTGGGAATCACTGCTGAAATTAGCAGTCCCCAAAGTCCTTGCACAAACGCCTCCGCTTCCTCCTGACCCGCTCCTGGACAGCAAGCATGCACTGGCTGTGGAGCACTCTCCCTCCTCCTCTTCCTCCTCACTCACTCCTGGATAGCAAGCATGTCCTGGCCGTGGAGCACCCGGCCTCCAACTTTCTCTGATCCCCTACTTAACACATCCCTCCTTCTTTTGTATTTAATTATTAACAACCTCATTTTCTCTCTCCCAGTGGACTTTAAACTTCCTGAGGGTAAGACCTGGGTCAGATTTCTTCTTTTCAACTCTGTCAGCCTCTTTTCTGGGTCCTCAAATAGCCTCCACACTACTCATCAGATGAATCGGTGGGTAATGCACCAAAAGTCACGGTGTGGGACCATTTGTCATTTTTCCACAATGAAACTACAGTGTCTATGAGATGGATCAGTTCCTAGATCAAGCTGCAATTTCCTAAGCAGAGTGGATCTTGATATTGGCTTGTCAATGCGGCAAAGCAAAGAAGAATTTTATGCTTGGCAATCATGCCTGCTCTCTCTTCTGGTAGCAGATGTCAACCTCCGTTACATTCAAGTCAACTTATTAGTGCGTGGCTTTTAGCCAAAAGCAACTCACATTTGCAGAAGTGTACTATCACATATGTCTTAATAGCAGAAATGTAGTTTTAAAGAAATGTATGTGATAAGTCACATATGGTAGGAGAAATCTATCCAGCTCAGGACTTTTTGTCACAATGAAAGCAGGGAGATGCTCGGCGGCACGTTAGCATACAAGGGCAAGTCTGATGCTTTAAAGAGCCAGTCAACAGGCCGCAAAGCTAGCTTTGTTGCTGGCTTGGTTCCTCGGCCCAGAGACCAGCACCAGGCTTCTCCTGTCCTGGTCACTGGTCTCCAGATCTAACCAACTGGATTCTTCCCCTCAGCAATGACATTTAATGTTTCAGGGAAAAGTCATGAGCGGGTACTGGTACATTATGTCCTTAGATTCACGAATCTATATTTCCATTTGGAATTACACTTCATATGGAGTGTAATTAATGAGTGTCAGAGTCTCTCCAGTCTGATGAAAGAGACTCACAATTAAGAAGGTATTAAAAGGAAATGGAAAAAGTGCCTGAGATGAGGGAAGAGATAGGCAAACCTTTGGCGAGGAATGCATTTAGAACGGACACTATGATGCATTTGCCATCACCCCAATTTAAAGGTGAAAAACAATGTATGTGAACTTTGTGAGTAAACCAATAAAGAAGAAAAAATATAATATTTAAAAAGGTGACTTAGTCTTAGCTAGATCCTCAGAAGTCACACATTTTTAACACATACATATACCTTTGCAATGCAGTCATCAACAACCTGGAAGACCTTGGAAGACACAATACATATTCACAGTCAGTGCCACAACCACAGAGGTTTCTGATGCCGTACTGTCTGCTCCAGAACCATTGTCAGAAGGAGTGAATTAAAAGGGAACCTCTGTGCTGTGAGAGAATCAGAGAGCACGTCAGCCCAGAACATCTTGCACCATGATAAGAGCTTGGAAAATACTTCCTCATTTTTGAAAGACTACAAGGAAGAGGACTGATGGCTGAAGAATTAGGTCTCATGAAAGAGCTTCCATCCATGCCTCCTTATTCCTGACCAAGGAGAGCAGGGGGCAGCAAACTGTTTCTATATGGAAGGAAACAGCGAATAGTTCCGCCTTTGCAGCCCCTGGTCTCTGGCACAAGGATTCAGCGCTGCATTTGTTACAGCACAAGAGCCCGCAGATGGGATGTAAATGCCTGAGAATGACTGTGTGCCAACCAAACTTGATTTATGGACACTGAAATTTCAACTTCATTCCATTTTAGTATTTGGTTACAGGGTTTTGCCAACCTCTGTGCCGGTGACTTGTGTCACATCACAAGGACACAGACATCTTCACCTGTCTGTATTTAAACCTCGGTTATCAAGCTGCAAACAGCCCTCTGTTGTTTCAGAAAGACTGTACACATTTTTCACTACATGCTCAAAAAAAAAAATCAACCACATGTCATTCTCAACTACAAGATCAAAGCAATAACTGGTCACCAGCAAAAGATACAGAATCACAGGAACATGACACTGCACACGGGCAAGTGTCCAGGCTATCAGAGAATGGACCACTTGGTCAGTTATAACACACTCGCTCTTCTGAACTGATACCTACCCACACTAGAGTGCCTCCCTGGCCCTCAGGGGGCCGCCAGCCTTCTTAAGCCTTGAGACCAGCTTCTGGAAAGATTGTCCAATTTGCTTACTTGTTCATTCATTCATTCATTCATTCATTCATTCAGAAAACGTGTGTCAAACTCTCACTCTCTGCACTGTGTGTAATCTAGCAGACATCTGAACCTGCAGAAGGGTTATTATTTATAAAACTTTAAAAGTATCCAATTCTGTTCCCCTGTCCTGGGTGTAATGCATCCCAACTCTGGAGTGTGTCTGTTCCTGAGCTGAAGTCTGAAGAGGATCTCTCTTCTTCTTTTTCTTATACAATCCCTCCCCCCAAGTCACTCCACTATTGCAGCCTTCATTTTGAAAAGTAAAAGAAAAATTCTTTCATTGTTATACAATCCCTTCCCCCAAGTCCATTCCACTATGCAGCCTTCGTTCTGGACTCCTGTCATGAAAATAATACCTAATCACATATCCCTTTTATGCAGTTGTCTCCCTCATCTGTTTCAACAGAGTATACATAATTTATCCCATCTTTCTCAGTCTCCCCCCAACCCCGATGTCAGTCCCATTTTACAACAGTGAGTCTATGCAGTATTTGTCCTTTTGTGACTGAGATATTTCACTCAGCATAATGGAGGACTTCTGTTCTTACAGTGCCCTCATGCCTGTGGTTGGCCAATGAGTGTGTTATCAGGAGATCCCGTGCAACCAGGTGCCTGGACTCGTGCAGAGCACAATGCTGCACTTAGTTAGAAGATAATTCAAAACACCTAGCAGGTGCTTGCGACTTAGCTTACTGCTAGGCAAGTTTTCCAGTATATTCTGAAGGGGAAAAAAAAATCTCCAAATTCTATTACTCATCCTTTGAGTCTTCTGATTCTCCTCATTTGTCTTTATACAATTCCTACAATTTCCCTGACATTAGATAATGAAGTCAGCACTGCCAATTTATAAAAGCTCATGGAAACAGAATTATCTGTGGGATCAAATTGTCACCAGGAGCAAGGAGAAAACTGGCCCATCTTCCTGGCCACTTGAGTGCGTCATAGGGCAGAAGGCTATTCTGTGCATGCAAAGATGGCAGTGGAAGCTCACTTACTATCAGGGGGCTCACGTGCGGCCTCGCCTGGTTGTTGGAGGACCCTTGTATACCACTGTGATCTGAGGTGCATCTGCACGAAGGCTGACTGGAGGGAGTGGGGCCCTGGGTGAGTGAAAGGTCATCCAGGACTGAAACCAGGGGCGTGGCCTCAGCATCATCAACCTCTAATCATCTACAGCTCGGCTATAGACCAGAGAGAAACCTCTGGGGCAGACAGAATGGGTACAGGCTGCAGGGACTGCAGCCCTCTCACCAAGCCACTTCATGAAATAAATAAATCTGCTACTTAACACTTGCACTTGCACCTTACAGCTCCAGGATGCGTACGTCTGCTCCAGAGTCCCCTAGAAGCCTGACAGCGACATGCTATATAGCCTGAGAAAAAGAACATGTTCAAAAGGAAAACACACGAAATTTTTTGGAAAATGTCTTAGGGCTTGGATTTAATAGCATACTCAGTGCTACCGTGGTGTCCTGGCCAACTGAACCCTTTTACAAAGCACAAATGAGCTTTTTAGTACTGGCATTTGTTGGCCTAGTCTCCCCAAAACTTACAAACGAATGTGCTCCCACCCTTCCACATCGGTATTTGGTACAGGTTAAAATGGAAGTTGGCTGTCATGCACTTACTTCCTCCCACAGATGCCGAGTGGCCTGTGAGTCCTAGGGACCCTGAAGGGGAACGTAAAACGCCCCACAGGGTTTTAAGACCATCATCTTTATGGGCACAGACTGCCACATCTTCCCCCCGCCCCCCCCGCCAAGCAGGTGGTGGATTTGAACTGCTGACTTCTTTACTAGGGGCCACGTTATTACTAGGCTTGTAACAAATAACCCAGCAACCTTAACAGTTTCTCCACCACACGTGGCAAATCAGACTGATATGCATGTTAACTCCTAAATGACAAAACAGACATCGTTCAGAACGTGAAAACTTCCCTCGAGAAGTGACAGGATAGGTATAGGAAAGGAGTGCTGTGCTGCGTGTTGGGAATTGAATAGTGGCCCGTAAAATGCCTTGGAAATAGCTCTGTGTTAGCTAGAAAACTCTTCACTTTTCTGAGCTTTTCATTAACAGGGTAACAAGGCTATAATGTCCAGGTGCCGACCCTCCCCGTGTGGCTAGCAATCACTTGGGCTCCTTTCAGCTGGTCACGTCTCTGTCAAAGGCCCAGGATTTGCAATTAACAAAATAATCTTTTTCACATGTGCAAAATCCAAAGGCATGAAGTACTATGCATTGAATATTGTTATAATAGTATTTGGCAGCTACTCATGGGTGGCGCATATTAATGTATGTAAACTGGGCACAGCTTGGGACATTTCCTCTTCAGGGACACAAGGAAAAATCAAAGCCAGTCCCTGTTCGGTTGTGGGGGGGTGGGGTGGGGTGGGTATCTGTCTTAGGTTTCTCTCTCTTTTCATCCTCATGGATATGAATTAAAAACTCAGGTTCTCTTTTATGACCTTATTTAAATAATAAAATTATTATTTTGCATGCACGACACAGAAATAAAAATGTCCAACTAACAAGAAAAAGAAACTTACTTTACAGGATTATTCTTGGGCTTTGCTTTTTCGACGGCCTGTAAACACAAGAAGCAGGGGAAAAGCAATTAGACAACAGTAGTGGGCACAATCTTGGGCACGACGTAGCAGAACAATAAACCATGAACGTTCTTCAGCAACAGGAGGAGCTAACTGAAGCAGGCGGAGGAGATAAGCTGTGGAGACTCCGAAAAGCAGTTCTCTGCTCCCTGGGAATGCAGGTCCCTCTCCACGTGCCGCTTGCCCACAGGCAGGCTTCCTCTGCACTGCGTGGGAAGTTGAGCTCAGGTACCCCTTACAGACACAGCAGAGGCCTCCTTCATGGCCTTATCTTACCCCTGCGTGGACCTGATATGGTTGTAACGGCAGAGCGGGCAGGTGGCTGGAGAAGGAATGGTCACAGGCATACCCTGTGGTACCCTGTGGAAAGGAACCGTTCTTCTACCATCACCACTGATCCTTCACGGTACTTAAACAAGGACAGAAAGGCCAAAGGGTCTGTTTCCCAAATCACTGCTACTTGCCACCACCACCAGAGAGAAGGGTTGCGTGAATGCTGGGACCAGTGTCCTCCTGGGAAACTTTCAAGGAAACACACCCGGTTGTGAGGCACTCTCTGGGCCCCTCGGCCTGCACCGCCCCATCCGAGGAGCCTGGTTCCAGTCTATTGCCGCACCCATTGACCTGTGTACAGTCCATTTATCATTCATGAAAAGAGCTAGTGATCTTCACAACTCAGATCATCTGTCAACAGCCCTCTGATTTCTGTTTCCCTCTCCACAGGGATTTCATCTCCTTCGATTCTTCTGGAATTAAAATGTTGCTAAGCAACACAGCTGGGGGTGCTGATGGCAGAATGGCTACAGTCTATCAAACTGTTTAAGCACCTGGAGGGGTTAGCGAGAATTTGTTTTCCATACTTCTGTAGCATAGTTATGCAATCAGAACCAAACTTGTATTCTTAGATTTTTTCAGGCTATAGAAATTACATTTAATACGGAGCACTCATTCGAGAGCCATGGGGTCATTCTTTCCAAAGAATCCACTTGGGCACCTTTATATTTGTGAATCTTTGAGGTACTGGGATGCTAATGAGAAGAAGTGAATGCTGATATAAATTAAGACACAGAGGCAACAACTGGTAACAGAGACAACATAGCATCTACCCTTGAACCTGACACTACAAGTGATGAGTGAACAAACACACTGAATCCTTCCACACATAATGGTAGCTTTTTTTCAAAGAAATGAATCACTTCCAAAGTCCTTCTGGTTTATGAAGTTATCAGGTTCTGTTGCTAGATAAATATCCATTAATATTTGGATATTTTCTTTGGCTTGATTGGAAAAAAATTATTTTTTTTCCACCATCTGTGCCTGAGGTTGCATTTTGGCAAGTACTAGGATAGTAAGAAAGCTAGGGAATGAGGGGACAGGTGAAAATGATCAAAAAGGAAATCTGTATCTGGCCACATGTATCACAGAAGTGAAAACCTGTCCCTGAGCAGTACGTGGAAAAGACCATACAAACAATTCTAGCATAGTGGTACCCAGTCTGCACACACCTGCCATTTGCAATGGATTAAACTATGAAATCCCTGTACCCACCCATTTAAGAAAGATGTCGAAGTCCTGTAAATGTGAGCACGTTCGGAGGCGGACGTTTATAAGATGGTATCATGAGCTCACACTGGAGCAGTGTGGATCCTCACGCCAGCTGAATGATGTCCTTATGAAGGAAGAGAGACACAGGGGGAAATGACTATATGATGTCTGAGTTACACTGCCACTGCCAAGAAATGTTTGGGGTTTATTGACTACACAAAGGCATTTGACTGTGTGCATCATAACAAATTATGGCTAACATTGGGAAGAATAGGAATCCCAGAACACTAATTGTGCTCTTGTGAAACCTATACCTAGACTAAGAAATTATTGTCTGAACAAAGCAAGGGAACACTGCATGGTTTAAAATCAGAAAAGGTGTGTGCTAAGGCGGCATCTTATTTCCATACTTGTTCAATCTATATGCTGAGAAAATCATTCAAGAAAATGGTCTTTCTGCATTCGGAGGAGCGGGGGAACACTTATCAACAATTGTATGACGTAGATGACACAACCTTGCTTGCAGAAAATAAAGAGGGCTTGAAACACTTGCTGCAGAAGACCTAGGGTTTCAGCCTTCAATATGGATTACATCTCAACATCAAGAAGACAAATCCTTCCCACTAGCCCAATAGGCAACAACATGATGGAGAAAAATTGAAGTTGACAATGATTTCGTCTTGCTTGAATCCACAATCAATACCCTTCATATCAGCAGTCAAGAGATACGAAGACATGTTAAATTGAGAAATTACACTGTCAAGAATATCTCCAAAGTTCTAAGGAGCAATGATGTTAGTTTAAAGACTAAGGTGCACCTGACTCAAGCCATGGTCATTTCAATTACTTGCTACGCATCTGAAAATTAGGCAATGAATAAGAATAATGGAACAATTGACGCCTTTGAGTTAGGGTATTGGAGAAGAGTACTGAAAATTCAGTGGACTGCCAAAAGAACATGTAAGTCTGCCTTGGAGGAAGTGTAACCAATATGCTCCTTAGAGGCTAGGATGGCGAAGGTTCAGCTCATATACTTTGGGCACGTTGTTAGCAGGCCTCAGTCCTTGGCAAAGGACATCATGTTTGGAAAGGTGATGGATCTTGATTTGTATACGAATTTTTTAAGTAAACAGTATAAAATTTAAAAAATATTATAGAATATTTAAGCACCTCAATAAGAAAAAGATAAACAACCCAAATGCAAAATGGGTACAATCAAAATCTTGGTACCAGCAGTCAAAAAATCAGAAGCTGTGTGTCAGTGGGAAAGTCTGCTGTCAGTGACACTCCAAAGTTTGAAGACTAAGGTGTAACTGATTCAGGCCATGGTCTTTTCAATCATTTGTTATGCATCTGAGAGCTGGACGATTGAGTAAGGACGGCAGAAGAAGAATTGATGCCTTTGAGCTGTGGTGTTAGAGTACTCAATATCCAATAGACTTCCAAAAGAACAGATATGTCTATTTCCAATTTTCTGAGAAAGTGCCAGACTACCTTCCACAGTGGTTGTACCATTTTACATTCCTATCAGCAGGGTCCCAATCTCTCCATAACCTCACCAACATTTGTTGTTTGCTGCCCTGTTGAACTTTGCTATTGTTGCGGGAGATGATCTCATAGCTGTTCTGACTTGCATCTGACCTAGGGATTCTGAACATTTCTTCATGCATTTGTTTGCCATCTGAATTTCTTCTTTGGAAAAGTGTCTATTCATATCTTGTGCTCACTTTGCATTTGGGTTCTTGTTGAGGTGCTTAAATATTCTATAATATTTTTTAAAATTTTATCCTGGTTTCTTAAAAAGTTCGTATACATTATTTTTCAGACTGGACCTTTTCCCTTTCCTTTACCTACCCCTCCCTCCACCCATCAAATTGTGCAGCTCTATGATTGAGTCCCCCTCCACCCATCCTCACCCCTCTGTTCACCCCTCCCCTGTTTGGATCCTCATTCTACACATTCCACAATAATAGTCTTATAGACATATGAGTCCCAGCAATTCCTCTACTGGGAATACACTCTAAAGAAACCAGAGCTGTGACTCAAGCAGATACATGCACACCCACGTTTATTGTTGCATAAACATTCATAAAATTCACAATAGCAAAGAGATAGAAGCAGCTCAAATGTCCATTAACAAAAGAATGGATAGAAAAACTGGCAAATTCACACAATGGAGTATTATGCAGCATTGAAAAACAATGAACTCACTACAAAATATGCATGAGTCTGGAAGACATTATGCTGGACAAAGTATCTTAGTCACAAAAGGACGAACACTTCATAGCACTCCTGTTATAAAACAGGAAACCCGGGAAAGAATGGATAGTTAGCGAACACTTCATTGGAACAGATGAGGGAAAGAACGGTCAGGAGGCATGATTAGGCATTTTATGTATGACAACAATCTGGAACAAGGTGTGCATTGCGAAGTGGATTGATGGAGGGGAAAGGAGAGAGAAGGAGGAAAATGCAGCACAATGAATGAACGAAACCCCAAATTTTCTGTAAACTTCCATTAAAGTCACAATTTAAAAAGGTAACAGATATGTCTCGGAGAAGGTGCAGTCATTGTGCTCCTTGGAGGCAAGGATTGCAAAGCTTGTCTCACACACATTGGGCATGTTGTTAAAACAGGCTATTCCTTGGAGAGGGACATCATGCTTGGAAAGATGGAAGGTCAGTGAAAGAGAAGAAGACCCTTAACAAGATGGACTAACAGTGACTGCAATAATGGGCTTAAGTATATCAGAGATAATGATGACAAAGGATAGGACAGGATTCAGATCTATTTTTCAGAGTCACTATAGTTGTACTTGACTCAGTGGCACAAAATAGCAATAACACAAGGAAGGATTATATTAGAGCACTTGGAAGAAAACTTTTAAGCAAATTATTTGGTTGCAAATTATATATGCTCTTACTCAAAAACCAACTAATTGAGCAGGTTTTCAGAGGGGATCAACCACACAAAAGGAGATTTCCCATCTTTCTCCCTTGGACCAGCTGGTAGATTTGAACCATGTGCCTTTGGGCTGGCAGTGTAACTTCTTACCCCCTAGATCACCAGATATCCCTATATGTCATTAAAGGATCTGTAATTGGGTCAGATGTGCCCATTAGGTTCCCTCACTTGAAAGTTGGACAATGAACAAAAAAGATCAAAGAATTGTGTTGATCAAGAACATTGCCTATCCCACTGACTTCTGGAAAAACAAACAAATCTGTCCTGGAAGAACTACAGCCAAAATCCTCTTTTCTAAATGAATGATGGGGAGACTTGGTTTCACATACACTGGACGTGTTAACACGATAGGCTAATCCCTAGAGGAGGACACCACGTTTGGGTAAGTAGAAGGTCAGCAAAAGAGAAGAGAACCCTCAAATGAGTGGATTGACAGTGGATGGCAACAAATGCCACAGACCTGGGCAG